GTGTGTAAATTGATAATCTGATTCACAACTGCACACAAAAATAGAACAACCATAAAAGAAGAAGGAGGCCTTATTAAGCATAACCGTTATCAAGACTTACTATAAAGCTACTGTAATTAAGGCAAAGGTATTTTGGTGAAAAACAGACTAACAAATGGAAGAGAAAATAAATTATAGAAACAGAAACAGATATATGCAGTCATTTGATTTATGATAAAGGAAATACGGCATCACAGTGTGGGAAAAGGAGGACTTTTCAATAACTGATAATGGATCAATTAGATATCCATATGAAAAAGAAAGGATGAAAAAGAATCTTGATCCCTACCTCACACCATACACAAAATCGACTCTAGGTTGACCGTAGATCTAAATGGGAAAGGTAAAACAGTAACACTTCTAAAAGACAAGAGAAGAAAATATCTTCATGACTCTGGGATAGGCGTCGTTAAAATAAAGAATTTCTGTTCCTTAAAAAATACCATTTAGAGGACTTCCAGGTAGCTGAAGACAATGCAAACTGTATGTTTAATTAACCTTTCCAAAGTCTCGAACTATACTAATGGCCTTCTATAAAATGGCCTTATGCAAAATTTTATATAAGATCATACCCTAACCAATAACTGAAGACAGGGAATACAAAAAAATGGCAAAGTCACTGTGAATAACGAGAAATGTCAACAAACCCCAGCACTACAATCACCTGTTCTTTTGCTCACGCATGCCCTGTGCAAGGCTTGTGGCAAATACAAGTAGATCAAAGAAAACTGGGGGAAAAGAACAGGTGATGGGAGCCATTTAAGGGTGAGGTAGAACAGGGACCAGCAAGACGACTCCACCCTATACCTGAGGATATTGAAAAAGTAACTGGACAGATCAGAACACTTACTATAGAAAAGGGATTTCAGAGCGTTTACCAAGAGATGTATGATGATGCTCAAAGCAACATTATTCACAATACTCAAACAGTGGAATACTTGTACAGCAGTGAAAATAAACAAATATCTGCACAAACTAATCTTACTAACATCATATTATATGAAAGAGGAAGGCTCCAATATGTATACAAAGGTCTGCCCAGAAGGTATCCAGCCATGCGCTAGGAAAAACAGGGACATTTATTGAAGAAGATACAAGAAACATTGTACATAGGAAAATGACATCTCAGTCCCCTTCAAAGTAGGCACCTTGGCACCTCACACAGTTCTCCCAATCTCCATCAGCTGCCCTGTCATATTTTCCTGAATCTCATCGGTGGTCTGAAATCTCTTCCCTTTCAAAGGTGATTTTAATTTTGGGATAAGCCGGAAGTCACAGGACACCAAATCCAGGCTGCAGGGGGCACACATGCTCACTCGACAGCATCGACCGCCCTTGTTCACACATGCACATTCCAGCCTACTCTCCTTGGCTGCCAGGTTACATCGATGTTGCACAGACAATTCTTGTATTAATAATGGCAGGACTTTTTCCGTACAGACCTCATATACTGTATGATTCCATTTAAGTAAATGAAATCATCTGTACAGTGATAGAAGTCAGAAGAACGGTTACTTCTGGCTGTGGGTATTGAACGGGACAGGGTCTAAGGATGGCTTTTGGATTGTTACCATTTTCTTTCTTTTTTTGATCTGGGTTGTGGGTGTATGGGCATTCTACTTAAACAAAACAATTATTTAAAAAAGAGCAAAAGTAATTCCAATTCCTTAGGCCATTCCTCATCTCACATAACTCTGGGTTGTGGACTTGCCATCCACCTCACTACTCCTTTGTCCTACCCCGAGACTCCTGTGCTGGAGAACGGCGAGCACTAGAGTTCGTTGAGAACCTATTTTGCATTGGCGCTTTGTAAAATACTTCTGTACTACCTCATCCCTCAAAGCTCCATGATCTTTGTCACGGAGCTCCCGTGGCAGTGACAACGAGATGGGTGCAGCGGCTCATGGGTCGTCAGCTCTAAGTTGAGGATTCAGTAGCTTTGTGCTCCCTCCAGTTCTGATGAATAGTCATGATGGTTGCAGAAGCTTCTTGGCCAGAAAACATTATCAATCTCAAGAGAATGAACCTGTGTCTTTGATAGAGTGTTGGGGCCACCTCTGAGGTCCCACTGATTCCAGGGTCCTGTGAACATGTCCATCTGGGCCTGGCCCAGCTCTGTGCCTCAGCAGGGGAACCGTGCCCTGCTGACCACCATCCGCCCCCCAGCAGTCATGTAAAATGCAAGTTCAAATTCAGGAAACATTTCTCAATTCTGTAGAACTTCCTTTGACCATGGACTTCTGAAGGCTGGTTGGGGAAGTTGGCTCGTGGTCAAACCACAAACAGGAATGCTTTATTAGCCCTGGGCCCTGCACCCTGGGGAGAGAGTGCTCACCAAGAGCAAGTACGAAGGACGGCTCAGCCCAGGAAGGGGCTTGACCAGTACTACTTGCTCAAGGCCAGGACCCGGGGAGGAGAACAAGGTGCTCCCTTTCAGTGTGGAATTTAAGAGGAAGCCAAAACCCTCAGTAGTCAAGATAAATAATATTTTAATAAATCAAAACTAATGTAGAAAGTCTACAGTGAACAAAATATCAAAATACTAAATAAAGATAAGGCCCAATCCTGCCATCGTGCGACTCAAATCACTTGGTTTACCCTAATCCCGGGCCTGAGGACTTGTCTCTATTTAAAATTTTGGTATTTTGTTCACCATGGATTTTCTGCATTAATTTTGACTTTTAAAAAATATTGCATTAAAATCTTTTTTATCTTGATTACTGAGGGTTTTGGCACTCCCTTCGATTTTGCCCTTAATCCCAGCCGCAGAGCCTGTGAGTTACAACTGGGGGGACAGACTGCTGAGTTCGGACCAGGAAGGTGGTCACTGCCGAAAGGACCGTTGTGGGCCCAGAGGGACCAGTAGGGACATTAAGGGGAAAAACAGTCCTTCTGTACTGGAAGGATCTGGGTGTCTGATGGGAGGCTCGTCTACACAATCCCTTGGAGAGCCCTACGGCCCTCTGGTTCTAAGAGGTCAAAGGCTTCAGATGTCCCTGTGTAACTTTGATCATCTTGTAACCTCAGATAATGCAAGAAATGCTGCCTCTTGCCTCAAAGACTTCGGGGACAGGGACAGGGTCTCCCAGAATTCTGGGAGCTGCCTTAAGCCAGGAGCCTGCCTCTGCTGCCCTGGCATCGCTCCATCCTGGGAGGCCCAGGAGTTGGTCGCCCACGCTGTGAGATGAAATGAACAGCCCCGGGAATAGCGCCCAGGTGTCCCATTCACAGACATAGCAGCACTGGGGTAAGGTCAGCCTCCTCACCTGCCCCAAGTAAAAAAAAAAAAATTCAAAAAGGAAAGCCAGCAACCTGGGACACAGTTTGTCATAAAGTCAAAATATTTGCTACAACACTGAAAGAAATGATCTTCCCAAAATGCACTCCTGTGTACAGCTGACATCTGCGCTTGCCAGCCCCGGGGGGTGGGGGGGTCACCTCCACGCTCCCCAGGATGGCAGCCCTTCTCCCGGCCCTTCCTGAGGCCCTTCTCCCGGCGCCTCCCGGCCCTCACCCCCACTGAGCTTCACAGGCCTTTTGTGTAATCATTTACTTCTTTGATTTGCTTTAAGTCTCTCGGTTTAATTATTACACTGTCTGCTCGCATAGAATTTTCCCCTTCGTTTTTGTCTTTTCCTCAAATTTTACACTATTTTTAGATTAAAGTATAGAGTATCCCTGGACCAAGTATCTGCTAATAAACTGTAAGCTTTGACACTTTTAATAATAATACTTGCTGAAACACAATGAGTTTCTACTTATTATTCAGCATCTCAAAACCTTTTTATACACTCATCGATTTTGGTATAAAAATATGTCTTTCAACCTTTTCTCACCAGGGTGTTTTTCCAGGGTCTCTCAGGTGCCGGTGTGATCTGAGGGGTTGTTTACACAGCGTGTCCTGATGGTCTGCCATTTTTTTTTGACAAATCAGTAAACCATTCTTGTAGAGTTGGCTCCAATTGAGATTAAATAATGGATAAAAGTAATACACATATACATTTTACTTTACATGCAGTTTATTCTCTTAGGGAAATTGCGTCTGTAAGAACTCTGGAGCGGAGGGCAGAACCTAACAATCTGAGCAGTGAGAAGAGAGAAAAGACTTGTGTGCACTGCTGGACTGAATTCTGGCAGGCAGTTAAAGTTGAGAGATGAATGTTCCCATCTTTCCCAGGGCTGTCATCACCTGTTTTTGACGATGCTCGCACTGATAGAGAACAGTGTACGTCGTGCTTTTGAAACACTTTTGCACGTGCCACATGGCCTGGTTCCCGCACAGCCCTGCTGGGTAAGCCAGGGCAGGGTTCGTAAACCCCAGTGAGAACGCATGGACTTAAGCGACCTGCCTAGGTCCTCCTCCCAGTTGCGACAGTACCGAGGGACCGGGCACCATGTTAGCCATCTTGCGCAATCTGCTATCTGTCCTCCTTTTAACCCCAGAGGAGGGTATTTTTACCACCGTTATACAGAAGAGGAAACAGTGGCTCGGAGAACTTAAGCTCAAGGTCACAGCTGGTAAGTGGCAAAATTGGGGTTCAAACTAGTCTGGCTGGTCTACAGCACATGTTTCCCCCATCTACTTGAGGGTCTTTCTTCTCTGCACAGACAGGAGCATCAGTGTGACTGAGAAATGATATTCCAGGTCAGAGGGACACAGAATAAAACTATAACAGAGCCTGGGAGGCAATACTTGCAGTTGGTACTGTAAACGTCCCAACTCCACCCCTTAGGTATACACTGTGTTCTGAGCTTGCAAAATACCCTTACTGCCCACAGTTCCCTAGAGGGGAATGCAGTGGGTAGCTGGCTATTCCCATTTAACAGATAAGTGAAGCTCAGAGAGGTCAAGTGATTTGCTCAAAGACACACAGCAAAGAGCACTTTTTGCCAACATAATCAGATAAGATGATCAGAGGAGAGGGATTCAGGGGCTGAGATGGACTGACCAAGACACTGACCTTTCCTGAGATGGTCTTGATCTGCTTGGAGCTCAGGGGTTCAAAGTCCACGCCAATGTAGCCCTCCATGGCAGCAAGAAGATTCTTCCGGAGACAACGGGAGGAGTTGGCTTCTGTATGCACCTGCTCCCACCAGGAAGGCTCGTACCAGCCTGGGATGATCCACTGGTATTTGCTACCGTACATGTTCTCCTCATATGCCTGCAACAGACGGGTTGACCATGAGAGTTACACACTTGTTCAAGGATTTGTGTCCTGTGAGAGAGGTGTGTGTGTTGTATGTGTGTGTAGGGGCGGCTGGGGGACTCAGGCTTCCTCTTGCCAGAGGATTTATTATTTTTTCTATTATTTGCCTGGACTTGTCCTTGTTATCTTTCAAGGGACCCAAGGTAGTTTATGGATAACACACATATTAGAATAGTCAATATTGAATAAAACTTAAAACGTAATGACCTGAAAAAATATAAATTATATCTTATATTTTATATCAGTAAGGAGAAAACAGACCAGTTCTTCAGGGAAATAAATGTTTTCTAGGCTTTAACCCTAAAGAAAATGGCACATATTAGCTAGCATGGTATCAACAACATCCCTATAACAAACAGATTTTATAAGGCTATTTTTGTGTAGATCTTTACTAAAATCTGAGACCATAATCTAAAAGCACAATGCAGAGGGAGCAATTTTGCAAAGGGCCAAGAAAACTTAATCTAACTCTGCAATTTACATAAGATGCCTCTTGGCAAGCTGAGCAGTCTCTCTGAATCTTCTTTACCCAAAGCATGGCGTGCATAAATCCAATCCTACAAGTTCCTTACATTTATATGCTTTGCATACACCTTATTTGCCATTCATGTTCATCCTTTGAGGTGGTCAGGGCAGAATTTATTATCCCCATTTCAAAATAAGGAAGCTAGAGATCAGAGACTGAAAGTCAGTTTTCCAAGGTCACACAGCCAGGGAGAAAACTCAGCCCAGAACCTGGGTCTGCTGACTATTATGCAGAAAAACCACACTTCCTTCCTCCCATTAAAAAAAAATGATCAGACTATTCTACCGGACCTCTATCTGGCTTTAGTTCTTATTATGATGTTTTATACCAGGCGAAGCATGCCTTTTGAGAGCTTAGAGGCACCCAGGAAACCCCACTATGTAGGAATGTCATGTGCCATCAAAATTGGGTCCAGAATGAAGTTTCTAAGTAGATTCAAAGTCTGTTTTTTGAAATTCCCCGCTATTCTTAGCAAAATAAAACAATGCCTTTTGCATGCCTTCTCAATCTTAACAGGCTGAGGCAAGAAGGCAGCCCCACTTACTAGAAACGTACATGAAAGAAGAGTCAACAGACAGCAACTGAGGACAGGAGGGGTCTTCTAGTTGGACACAAAGGTGGGTTTTCACTATGGGAGGGAGACCATGTGATAACCTAAGGGCGGCCTGAGCAGGAAGCCAGAGCCTGGCAGGGGTCTGCCGTGAGCCTGCTGACCTGCCATTGTCCCACTGGAATTGTTCCTTACGAGTGCATTTCCCGCAGCACAGAAGCTTGGTCCACTTGATTGACAACACATTTTGTTTTGGAACATGAGTCAATTTTAAAGATAAAGAAGTGTCTACTGGCTTTCAAGAGGGAAAAAAGGATTACAGTCAAGCAGTACTAGACACTGTGCCCCGAGCTACCAGGGGAGCTAGCACATGGCAGCCTGGTCCTCCCACCACTCACCTATAGCCTGTGGGAAGCAAAGCCCATGCCACTGGGTTGGTGCAAGAATTCAGTGAGATACTATGTGCACCACGCCCATCCAACACTACACTAGGGATGTGCAGCTGCTCTGTCTTCTTCCCCTTCCTTCTGGTAACTCGTAGAGCTTCATTCCAAACACCAGCTGTTATTAGGAGTCACGTGCAGTGACGCTCCTGAGGGTAAAGAGGACTGGTCCCAATACCAAATGGCCCTAGACTGTTCCAACTGGAGTTTAGGATCTACTTTTTGGCTCTGTCGCCTTTCTTGCTGTCAGGTGTCGGTGTCACTTCTCACTGTCATCAAGTCCCTCTGCTCACTCTGCATGCGCTGCTTTCCAATGGCCACGGGCCGGGGAAGGAGAGGCCCTCAAACACGTGTGCAGAGCAGAAGTGGATGGGGTTTGAGTGCGGATCTAAAAGGCAGGCAGACTGGACTTGAACACGTCACCCACTGCTGAAGCAAGTGCGGAGAGGCCTCCGGACCTCCGGGCCTCCGTCCCAGTGCCCCCACATTCAAATGAGCCGAGGTTGTTCGCCACATGACCTCTAAGGGGCTGTGGGTGTGCTTGGCTGTCCCCTTTGCCTGATGGGGAGGTCCTGGAGGGTGGCGTCAGCTTTTCCCAGGTTCCTCAGTTCTCTGTGCAGTGTCCAGTGTAGAGATCACCAATAAATGGTTGTGGAGTGACTCGCCGGACGCATGTCCAGTTTGCTTGGTCACCTTGGTTTTCGTTTTCCCTGCCCCTGGTAGCAATGTGATCTCGGGACCTGCGGCGACCCAATGGGCCCTGCCACATGGCAATGGGTGGTCCTAAGCTCATGTTTATTCCTATATACTGCTTTGGTTCCTATTGGCTGTAGACAGAATCGTGACCAGAAATTATTTTAAAATCCCATTTCTTCTTTCATAACCTTTCCTTTTGCCTCCTGCCCTCCCCATGCAAGGTCATTTCCCTTTACCATCACAGTTCACTAAAATACAGTGAGAAACCCTCACATCGGTAAAGCAATTACCAGTTGAGATGATGGTCTGCCTTCGACTGCTTTACGGAAGCCTCTCAACAACCCCATCAGGTTGCTGGGGCAGGGGGTTCACCGCTTCCCCTGTGGAGGTGAGGCAGCCGAAGGTGCAAAGCAATCTGCCTGAGGTCACACAGGCCGTGGAGCTACAACCAGAGCCCAGGCCGGAGAGCTGGAGAATTTAGACTGGACCACCGAGGAGCGAGGAGAAGACAAAAGCGACGTGCCATGCTTGTACTGTGCTAGAGCCAAAACGAACATTTTGCCACAGGGCTATAAATAGACCTTGCATTTGCTGGGGCCCGCTCGCCCACTGGGCGGCGGTTCCAATCTCAAGAACACAGCAACATGCTGCAAAGACTGCATCACAGCATTTGGACGGTGGGGACGCGGTGTTCCCACCTGGTCTGAGCTCTGACCCGGCAAGGCACAGGAAGGCTCCCTCTGTGGGTCTCTGCTCTGAGCAACTGGCTCCTGCCCCCACCCTACTTGACACGCCCGAGTCTTGACCCATTGTGAAGACCCGGAGCAGACTCTCCTCAGGACCCTGCAGACCTGCCAAAGGAACTCCTTCCTAACCAGAAAAGAATGAACGACCTGGAAGGCAGAGCCATCTGAGGGTCCAACACATGGAATAAACACCCAACCCAGAGCTCTGAGAAACTCCTGCAGAACCAAAGCGGCTGGCGAGGACTCTAAGGGAAGGCCCATCTCCAAGTACAGAAAACCCAGTAAGAGGAAAGAGTAAAGTCGGGGGAGAAGGTAGGATGGTGTCCCATGCCATGTGGAAGGCAGGCAGCCTGGGGCTTTGGGTCAAGAGGAAGACAGTCACGCCATCTGTTCTGAAGCAGAAGCAGTGGCTGGAAATGCCACTCGGAAAATAATCCCAGTGCACGGCACAGAGTGGAGTCACAGCCACGCCTCGGGGTGTGCTCGGCTCCAATCAGAACACGAGGCTTGTCTGCAGTTCTTGCAAACAGGAGGTGGCCAGTGCCCAGTGTGGTGGCTTTATGGATCAGTTTTATTAATTTACATTTCTCGGAGTTATTACTCACCATGTGCCAGCTGCTTGCAAGGCCTGGGGACATGGGGGATCGGCCTTTTTCCTAAAAGATCATGTCCTCCAATTCGAAGCTTTATTTTCCAATTCAAAGTGGGTCATTTCTGGGCCTTGCATGGTAATGTGTAAGGGTTTATGAGTCTTGAAGCAAAATTCATTAAACCAATTTGTTCTGTTTTTAAAATGTTTCTCATGGTCCTCCTTGGATGATCATATGAAATGACCACTCGTTACCCTTGATGGATAGACAGGATGCTTAATGCAACCTTATAAAGTCCCTCGGTTGGTAAACTCGGCAGCCCATCAGTGGTCCTCTGGACACTCGAGACTTTCCCTGGCCAACAAATGAAGACCCCTGATGTCAACCGGGGGCTCCCAATAGACAGCACACACTGTGCAAATGTTGTTGCTCATTTAATGTTCACAACAATCCTGTGAGATAGGTGTTATTCATATCCCCACTTTACAGGTGAGAAAACCGAGGCTCAGAAAGTGTCAGCAACAAGCCCAAAGGTTCAGTAACCAGGCAGCAGAACAAGGGTTCCTGCCCAAGCAGACAGACCCCTGAGCTCTCAGCCCCACCCAGGATCTCCTGCCTCCTCCCCGGTGAACTGAGGGGTGAACGGGCTGCTCTCACTTTGCTCCTGGGCCTTCGGGATGCAACACCCCTGTGCGGGCAGGGCGGGGGGTGGGCGCCAGCCACTGCTCTCTCCTCGCTCCTGGTCTCTTTTCGGTTCCTGTGTCTCTCCTGAAATGGGGCACTGGGAGCTGGGCCAGACATCCCAGGCAGAGTCTCTCCGGCACAGCAGAGCAACCACGCACCCTGTGTGTGGACACGCAGCCTGACGTCACCTCAGCTCCCTGGCAGCTGCCTCCCGCAGGCGACTCACGGTCACTCCGAAGTCAGCCAGGACACCCTATGCCTTTCGTGCTGTCAACACACTGCGGTCAGTCCTCGGCTCTGTCTCCACCACATGCGACTTCGGCAGCTCGATTTGTTCTGATGGAACCTTTTGTTGGAACTATTAGATTTAATCTTGGATTTAATCAAATGCTCCAGCCTGTCAAGGTTCTTTGTGCCCCGACTCTGTCATCCGACATATAGCACAACTTCTAAAATTCCTACAGGTCTGCTTTTTATAATTTCATCCAAGTGACTGACAAAAGTTCAAAGAGAAGAGAGGCCTGTGGCCCATCACTGGCTTCTGTACCCAAAATAACCTCAGTCTAAGGCGAAGGGCTGACTGGGCCGAGGACGACTCCCACAACTGTGTTCTCCTTCCGTTGACCTTTCTCCTGACCCAGGGCAGAGGTGGGGGCGCTGGGACACCAAAATGGAAATATTAGTTCTTATGTTAGAACTCCTACATACACTTAAGTTAGGGCATCATGGGGAAAAAGGAGAATCAGATTGGGAATCAGTGGATAGGAATGGAACCTCGGCTCTACCATAAACCGGCCGAGGGCTTTGTGGGAAGTCCCTTCACCTCTCTGGACCTCCATGTCCTTGTCTGTAGAAGGAGATAATGACAGTTGCTTCACATGGTTACTGGAAATACTGCATGAGATAGAGTATAAAAAAGTCCTTCATCCCCTATCACACACCAGACAACTGTAAAGGACTCAGGGGTAGATACTGGATAGTTGACCATTTGTTCTAAAGCTAAGACTCCGAGCCCTGCTTACAGGGTGGGGAGGCGGCTGGGCGCCTGTCCTGCCCCTGCCCTGGAACCTCCCTCTGTGCCGTGCACACAGCCGGCCTCCACAAGCATGGCTAGTCGAGCGGACTCGCAATCAGCAGACGGGGCTTAGCCAGTGGATTTGGTAAGTCGGGTCCCTGTTGCTCCTACAGCTCTACTGTTCTGAGCCCTGGGGTTCTAGCTCCATGAAAGAAGAAAGAGCAGGGAGAATAACACCATTGCTTCCCGACTCCAGTCCTAGGTCCTCACTCACCCACCAGGCGGTGAGAATGAGCCTGAGAAAAAAGCTTCGTGCACTTCCCCAAAGACACAAATGACGTGACCAAAGTTGTACTTACACAACAGAACACTTTTGCTGCCATATGCTGGTCAAACTGGCCGAGGATGATCCTCACGTCATTGCCCTGTGGACAGAAGGACATGTATGTAAAGGTGAGTGAGTGACAGCACAGCCCAGAGGGCTCGAGGCCAAGGGCAGAGAACATTTGTGCAGCCCAAGCGCCCAGCCAAGAGCCCTGCCTGAGCAGGGTAGGCAGGGCAACCCCTTGCCCCCAGCCCAGCCAGGATTCTCCGGGCCTCTGTGGGGCCAGCCCTCCCTGTTCTCATGGGCAAGCCGGGGGATACTGCACAGGCTGGAGGCTAAAGCTGACCTTGGCCTCTCCGCTGCTCTGCTCCAAGCCCTTCAGGGAGCAGAGACAGTGTCTGATCTTCCTCATTATGCATGTAGGGAAACTGAGGCCAGAGGAATGAAGGGAGCTTCCTAGGTTCCCAGCATGGTGCAGACATGAGACATGCAGACATGAGACATGAGACTCATCTGACCCCCCAACCCACCCCTTATTCTAGACTTTTCTACCTTCCTGGAATCCACAAAGCTTTCAAATTAAGTTTCAGAATCTCTTTGAGTTCTGAGCTTTGTTCAAGTAGCAGCTCTACCAACAAGCTTCAAGGGTGGACTCAGGCGGCTCCTTTTCCCACCGAGCCTCGAATTCCTGATCTGCAGACCGGGGATGACGGTGGTGCCTACCTCACAGAGGTTGCTGACGGCACTAAATGAAACAGATCATCCTCATAATGTGCTTAACACGGTTCCTGGCACATAGTAAGTGTCCAATAAGTACTAGCTAGCATTAGTATTTTATAACCTTCCCTCAGCCCATCTTTATTTCAAAGGAAAATCTATATTCAAAAGCTCTATAAAATGCTTATTTATGATCTTATTATCTCAGTGTGGTTAATAGGTATAAGCTGTACAACAGCTCCTGTGGCTCATTTATTAGTTCAATAAACACTGACTCCATGCCTGTCGGAGGCTCCCTCTCAGGTCAGGATGAGGGTCCTTCGGTTGCTTTGTAGGGGGTGATGATCCAGGCTGGGCCCTCTCCCCACAGAAGACGGGGTGGAAGTGGGTGTGCCGGGCAGCCACCAGGAGGCCAGCCCTGGCCTGCAATGCCGGCCCCTACCCTGCTCGCTTCCTGCCTTCCTCAGCAGGGCTCCGCCTCGCAGGTGGTGCTACCTTCCCACCGTTCATTCTGTCCTCTCCACCAGGCCTGAAGGCCCTTTGATGCATAAAGAGAAACATGCTTTTAAATATCAGTTTTTAGCATCTGTCAAAATTGGAAAGTGCTGACTGGGAGGCCAGTTTACTCATCATGTACTTTAGCAAAATAAAAAGGCTTGGATTCTAAAATCATCCTTCGTCTGTGAGCAAGAATGGAAAGAAGAAGGGAAAAAGTCGCTCGGAAAGGACTTTGAAAGATCATTAACGGAGCGGTGCAAGGGAGGCGAGCCTTTGTCATCACTATGTCTGCAGTGCTATAAAAAGTTCTGAGCTGCTTCCGTCTGCAGACATGCTCCCAGGCACACTCCAGGGTCTTTCTGCTTGTTTGTTGAGATCTTTCATCATTTCTTGCTGCTAACAATACCCATCCACCCAGCCACCCAGCCAACACTTACGGAACATCTACTTGGTGCCAAGTTCTGTGTTGTTAAACATGACGTAGTAGAAACAGCTTATTGGATTTTGCAGTTAGAGAGACCTTGGTTCAAGTCCCAAGGCTACCACTGACTGGCTGCGCTCTCCTGAAGCCTCATCAAAGAAATAATACTGCCTACCTTGCAGGTGGCTGTGGGAGTAATGATATGAAACCTACCTGTTGGCTTCCATGATGCTCTCTCCTGGTTCCCTCCTACCTCCTGGTCACTCCAGCTCAGAATCAGCTCCTTACCTTTCTGTCCATCCCTAAATGCTCGTGTGGAACTCAGTTCTGTCCTCATCACTCTCCTGGGCAACCTCACTCATGACCCTAGCCACAAGTACCCTCGGTGTGCTCTGGGGCCCGAAATCTCCCTCCCCAGCCCAGACTTTTCTCCCGCTGCCTACGGGACACCTCCTTGGATTCTCCCAGGCACCTCACGCTCAACATGTCCCCAGCTGAACCCATCATCTTTCCCCTCGACCCCCTCCCTCCCACTGTGCTGTCCATCTTGAGACTTGTGTCGCTGACCTCCTACTCCCCCAGCTGGGAAACGTGGTGGTCACCTTAGGTTCACGCCTCTCCCTCATCCACGCCACAACCAGGGCCTGTTGGTTCCGTCTGCTCATAGCTCCCACGTCATTCCCGTCTCTCCAGCCCCACTGCCCTGGCTGCGCCACTGCTGTTCCCTGGGCGGTGAACCACGGCAGCCTCCTCCCTGGATCCCTGCCTCTAGTCCTGCCCCATCTGCCCCAGTCTCCACAGAGCAAAGGACGGGATCATTCCAAGATTCAAATGTGATCACGCCAAATCGCTTTACAGCTCCCTGAACTCTACAGATCGATCTCTGAGCGTTCGAGATTCTTTCCCAACTGACTCCTATGCACCATTTCTCGGCCCCATTTCTCACCAGTCCTCCCGTCTCACTCCTCCACGGCACTGAGAGAGAACGGCATCCAGGTCTGCTACTCCTTCCTTCATTCGTTCGTTCATTCACTCATTCATTTCCTCACTCTATCCCCTCTTTCTTTCCGCAAACGCACCCATGCAGAATGTCCTTCCCTCCCACCTTCATGCACCCCTACTCTGAGAGGCCGTCTCTGTTCCATCAGTCTTGGTGGCCATTTGTTCCTCTGTGGGCCCAGAGCACTCGATCACGGCACAATCTTACATAGATGTAAGCCACTTACTTATATCTATGTTTCCCTACTGGACTGAGGGCGACTGGATTTGTCTCTGGGTTCCCAACTCCCAGCACAGGGCATAGCACATATGTCAATAAATAGGTGTTGAGTGCCTGATGAAGTCCACAAATGCTGTGTGAAGCACCAAGTGCAAAGCCTGGCCCATACTGGTTTTTTGGTAGCTGGTACCATCATTACACTAATGCCCTTTCAGCCTAGGGCCTAGGCACTGATTGGGTTCAACACGTCCATTTCTCGAATGGACTAAGGGACCCACATTCCTCACGGCCGACCACCTGCTGACAGATAAATAACCAGCTCTGCCATTTGTGGACCATTTAGTGTCCCTGTTGCCTTGACAACCAAGTTGCATAGACTGCTTGGACTATGCTCCAAGACTGTTAGGATTGGATGGGGCCCAAGGGATCATTGATCTAGTTAAACTCTTCCCTGCGGGGTAAAAGGCTTCCTCCAAGGCTGCACAACACTCCGGAGCCAGTGCTCTCACCTGGGTGCTCCCTGACCACCAGAGTGCCCCGAGGAACGATCCTACCCAGAGCCAGGCTGGGCCCGATACAGGGAGCCCTTCACACCATTCTGATTCTAGGTGGTGAGAGAGAGCAAGATGCTGCAGAGTCTGGGAGGAAAGAGGACAAGCCAGCACCCAGTGCAGCTGACACTTGAGATCCTGGGGTGCTGTTATTATGCCCACCCTGGAAAATTTCATGAGCCTGCTGAGGTCCCCCAAAATGAGACTTTCCCAGGCTCAGCAGATGCCACTGGGCCTGCTGGATTCCCTCCTGGGGCTGGCATACCCCTTCCAGCTGCAGTGAGGGGGGTTTGCCAGCAGCTTACTACCTTCTAGGTTGAGGAGGCCTTTTCCTGGCCTGGGAGGCTATGTCAGGCCCCACACTCCACAGCAGCCCGTGGCTGACACACACACACGGGAAACTCCAGCCCCTTTGCTGCAAGTGGAGCAGCTCTGTGGAAGCAGGCTGTGCTCCAGAGACTCTGTGGGGCCAGGCTAAGCAGGTCTCCACTAAGACAGCTTTCTGGCCTCGCTCCCCTCTAGCCTCATCCTGCTTTTCTCCCCTTCTCCTAAGTGCACTCTCAGTAAATCATTTTTACAAGAACCTCAGGCTCTCTTCCTAGACTGAGATACACAGGTAGGAAGTGGTTGTGCGGGCCCCACCGCAGCTCCAGAGCCTGAATGCTTGACCAGGCCCCGCTGTGGAGTGCCTGCCAGGATGAGAAGGCCAACCCCACAAGCTTGAGCTGCAGGAGCTCAGCGTCCTGTCTGCAGCAACAACTCATGAACAAGTCCTGCAACACTGAAGTGCAAGGACCTGAGTGGAAAATGCAATCCTGAGACATCACAATAGCTACCCTGTATGTAAAAGAGCAGAAAAGTAGAAGGCCACCCCTTCCTGTCTTCTCTGTGGCAGGCCTATGGTCTCCTACTAGGAGGTCAAGGTCGACCTGACACTGACTTCTGGGTTATCTGGCATCTCCCACCACCTGTGCTTCTGCCTCAACCACCGTTCAATAACTTCCCTGTTCTCAGAGGCCAGCCCCGCAGACCCACTCTATCCACCTCGCTGGGCTGCTGGAAAATCAAATCAGACCATGCTGGATGTTGTAAGAAAGGGATGAGGTGCTGTGAGCCCCAGGGCAGCTGGGCTATTGTGGGCTGGCCATCATGTGAGCTGGGGGCGGACACCGGGGAAGGGGTCTCCCGGGCTCTGAGGCCTGGGGTGAGCCTGACAGAGTCAGCCTGGATGTCTTCCAAAGTCCCTTCTGGCTCTGACAGACTGATTCCACACCCAGAAGGAGCACTCTGTCTTTTATTTAGCTAAAATTAGTCTTTTCTTAGACTTGTTTTTTTCCTCACCAGAAGTGTCCCTAAAGGCAGAGAAGAAAACGACACATACTCTTTAAGGAAGGGAGTGAAGAGGGAATAGCCCCCAGCAGCCCAGTGGCAAATCATGGCATTTCTTTAAAATTTATTATTTTATTTAAAAAAAAACCCAACTCATTTATAGCCCTGGCTGGTGTGGCTCAGCGGATTGAGCACCAGCCTGCGAAACAAAAGGTCTCCGGTTCGATTCCCAGTCAGGGTACACGTCTGGGCTGTGGGCCAGGTCCCTGGTTGGGGGCATGCAGGAGGCAACTTACGGATGTGTCTCTGGCACATTGATGTTTCTCTCTCTCTCTTTCTCCCTTCAGCCCTTTCTCTAACAATAA